GCTTATTTAAAAACTTGACAAGTGTTCTAGAATCAATTACAAATATTTTCAACTTCTACTTGATAATGAAAAAACATGATTTTTTCATGAAAATACAGCAAATAATCTCACACGACTTGAAATAAATAAGTTTCATTAGACATTTTCAACTAGTGTCAAAAAGATTTTCCTGATTTCATGTGGTGAAAAATAGTGCACATATCATATACCCATTGATGCCAAGCCCCTTTAAGCATGTTAAGCCACACCAAACTGATGTTTGGTTCTTTCGATTTTGTCGCACCAAATTTGGACAAAACTTTTTAATAAAAAAAAATATTGCCAAACACGGAATTTTCTCATCCACATCCCACTCAATTTAGAAATAAAAAATATCTGGTTCCCTGTTTTCCTTGCGGCAAAGGTATGTTAATGGTTAAATAATCAGGAACAATTCAATAAATTGAAGAAATGTTGACTGTTTTTGTTGTGTCGCCTCACTGTCAAGGGCAAAATCTACTGGAAATAAACTGTTAACACAGAGATATGTCTCGCCTATTTGTTATTTTGATAATGCAAATGTTGAAATTAAAATTACAATACTTTAACATGCAAGTTATGCAAATATTCAAAGTCAATGAACCAGGACTGAATGTACAGGGCTAAACAGTCTCCATGGAAATGAGATGTGCCAATGCTAATACAACTGCAAACCAAATACCATTGACTTTTCATAAGTCGTTCCCTTTAAACAAACCTAAACACAAACATTAACTTTTAAACTATGGAAAAGTTTCAAAGTCAATGAACCATAATAAGGGGGTGGGGTTATATAATCTCCATGGAAATGAAACTTGCAAATGCAAATACATTTGCATACCGAATATCATTGACTTAACATTAGTGGTTCATCTTAAACTGACCTAATCACAAACTAATACATGTAAACTAAGCAAAAGTTTCAAAGTCAATAGACCATGACTGAGAAGTAAGGACCAAATATTCTCCATGGAAATGAGATGTGCTAATGCTTCTACAACTGCATACCAATTATCATTGACCTACCACTAACGGTTCACCTTAAACTGACCTAATCACAAACTAATACATGTAAACTAAGCAAAAGTTTTAAAGTCAATAGACCATGACTGAGGGGGCGGGGCCAAATAATCTCCATGATATGCCAATGCTTATACAACTGCATACCAAATATCATTGACCTACCACTAGTGGTTCCCCATAAACTGACCTAATCACAAACTAATACATGTAAACTAAGCAAAGTTTCAAAGTCAATAGACCTTGACTGAGGGGTGGGGCCAAATAATCTCCATGGTAATGAGATGTGCCAATGCTAATACAACTGCATACCAAATATCATTGACCTACCACTAGTGGTTCCCCATAAACTGACCTAATCACAAACTAATACATGTAAACTAAGCAAAGTTTCAAAGTCAATAAACCTTGACTGAGGGGGTGGGGCCAAATTATCTCCATGGTAATGAGATGTGCCAATGCTAATACAACTGCATACCAAAAAACATTGACCTACCACTAGTGGTTCACCATGAACTAAACCTATTCACAAACTAATACATTGTTGACGCCGCCGCCTGAAACAGCATACCTTTGTCTCGCTTTTTAACTCCGTCAAGGCGAGACAAAAAACAAAAGCAAAATGCTCGTCAACGCCACATTCGAAATTTTATTCCAAATGTCAGTAGGTGGGAAAGATAAAGCACATCCATTGATGCTCTGTTCAAAATTTCTGCACAAGTTCAACCCTTGTCACAAGCGATGACGATCTTGTATGTGTTGATATAAATTTGTTAGTGTTAATAGACCTTGGCTGCAAATTTGTGTGCTTTGAACTTAAAAAAGGCCTAGATCCTAACAAAAATTCCTCTTATGACAACCCTGCAACTAGCAAGCATGTTGATCCCCAGAATAAACAGATATTTGATTTTTCTGAGCACCCTAGGCCTCACCCTCTAACTAAACTTAAATATTTACAAGAGTTATGTGATTTATTATCTGTTTAAATAGGTTTACCTTGCCTCCATCATGTCCATGAATAATATTGTTTTTAATAGAAATCAAAGATTTTTACAAAACATTTTTAAATCATTACCAAAAAATAAATAGGTTTGTCTGAAAGCCAAACCTTGATTCAGAATATTATAATCTGCAATCAAGTAAGCATAATTAATTTTTGTTTTCCAGCTGAACAAATATAATACAAAATCATGCCATTGTTTAAATTTATATTTTAATCTTGTTCATGATTAAAAATTTTCTTAATTTGATATAACTAATTTTTGTAGGATAAAATTTTTAAAAAATCACTCGCTCACTCCATAACTCTCTCTTTGACTGAAAAAATGGCAGATTTACAAAAAAAAATAAAATTAAAAAATTTGCTCTCTCGGATTATTCTTTTACGTTTAAAAATCCAAAGAACTAAACATTAAACTGCTGTGGCCTTAGATGCAATCAGTAAAAAAGTATTAACATTTCTGTAATTTATGATTTTTTTCAGTCATACATGTATGTAATATTTTGACTTCAGATTCGTTCATAAAATTTTATAATAATCATACTAACAACTACATGTAGGCATACCGGTACAGTGACAAACAATGACTTCCTGTATTAATGACAACTACGATTAAAATTTGATGAGCATTTGAGGAACACCGACCATCGTGGTAAATGGAAGTCTTCAATGTTTACAATATTTGCAAAAGGCATAATGGTCCTGTTTCTAGTTTCCTTGTTCGAGTTTTCTTTCCTTACTGCAGAAATTAAATTGTTTCATCAGACATCGTAAGACTTGCTGCATTCATTAACTATTCAGAATTGAATAAGAAATACATAGATCGCTTTGCCCTATACCAGTCAGGGATATAACTCTATAGGGTTATTACAGGAAATAACTTGCATGTGTTATTACAGATATTTTTATGAGTTGTCTACTCTTTAAACCTAAAATTTTCTAAATCTGTAATAACATATGTTTGTTATTTGTAAAATAAATCATCAACATTTTAATTTTTAGTGGGCTCTAGGGAACCCTGGAAACTTTGCGCAGAAACTAAATGCATAGCCTTGATAACTAATTTTTGAATTAAATTAATACATTTAACATTAACCATGGTAAATCAATAAGACAAGGCTTTTAAGTGATAAACTTAGCTGTAGTAACAAGGCTTAGTTATTAAAGGCATGCAACTTATTATATGAGACACTTGGGATTTACTGGGAAACTTGCCAGAACCTCATTGCATGCTTTGGTTATTATTTCTTACAATGAATTAAAATAAATTGTAATTAAGCATGACCTATGTCTGAGCAAATGCTTTGGAGTGATATAGAGAAGCTGTAATAACACCCTTTAGTTATTACAGGCCAATTTTTCCTGTAATAACATAGGTGTACTATGCATGATAGTCAAAATATGAACTGTTATATTTTTCTATAGTTAAGTATACATAAAGACAATAGCAATATCAATAGAACCTGTATACATTTTAACAAAACTAATGATGTGTATTGTCCCTTTGAAACATGTAACATACATATGTTATCACAGGTCTTTGATTTTTTAGTCCACAATAACAAACATATGTTATTTTTCTCTAATAACCCTAAAGAGTTATATCCTTGACTGTATACTATAGTCCCAAGAAACCCCAAAGCAATTTATTTTCCAAATCACTCAAGTGCTTCTTGTACACTGCACTGTATGAGAAAATGAATGTTCCCAGCTGTACAAAATAAAATAAAATATTAAAATGCTGACTGACTAACCATGTGTTTTTCAGGATTAACCTTTTACACAAATTCTCAAATCTGATAATTTGGTTGTCTGTAAGTCATAAATGTCAAATGATCAAAAATGAAGAGACTTACAGGATAGCAAAAATACTGGTCAGTATCTCATTGTTTTTTGGTGTTTTAGCACACACGTTTGTCGATGCTATTTGATGTAAAACAGACTTTGAAAATTTTGGGGATTATTTTCCTCTTTGGTCTTGTTTCATGGAATATTCATGTTCAGTATCGGACCCTCACACAGTTGAGCAAACTTCTAAAATCAAGATGGTCCAAAGACGAGCTGCCAGATATGTCTGTAACAGGTACCATAACATCAGTAGTCCTACAGATATGATAAACTCATTACCATTAAACTGGCCAACACTACATGTACAAGTAAGAAGACTATGCACAAGATTAATAATGTTCTACAAAATAGTCCATCAAATCGTAGCAATCTCATCTGCTATTCTCATACCATCAGACAGTAGAACCCACAAAAATCATAAATTATTTCACTTTCAGACACATTTCAACCAAAAAAGATACATATAAATTTTCAATTTTTCCATATATCATAACTCATTGGAACTTACTTATTGCCAATCCATAGTCGCTGTCACTACAGTCGACAGTTCAAATAACAGCTCACACCAGCTGTTCTCCACAAATTCATTTAATTTATTATTAGCCTATGTACATAGTTTTAATCACAATTTAAAAAAAAAATTTATGCACTCCAAATTCATTTTCAATTATTTTTATATTATTGTAAATATATATATATAGGCCACGCTGCGCAAAACAGTAAATAATCTTCAGATCAATGAAGGACTACTGAAAACCTAAAGAAGAAGAAGAAGATGGTATCGAGTTAGCTGCGAAACGTAGTTTGTTGTTTTTTATGAAATAAAATGCTGGCGCCGTGGTGGTATAGAAAACACCAATCGCTCAACCACCTTGTAAGAAGAACTACAGGAGATCACATAATCAGGTGCTAATTAACATAAAGCTTTATTCGGTTCTGATTGTGAGAACATCTTACCTAAACAGCTAAAATTTGTCTTGTTCAACCATCAAATTTCCCGGCCCAAATAATGTTTTGGAAAAATGGCCAATCAAGACACTTGTTACAAAATAATAAAGCTTGGATAAAATTCTATATTTGGTTAATCTCGGGATTTCCTTTGTACAGTGTTTCACGAGATAATGCGAGATTCTTTAAAATAGTAGCAGAAACAATATGGCGATGACAGAACAAGTTCCGCTTCAAGTCTTCATATATGTAGGAATTATAATATGTTCTCTAGTGGATTTTATAAAAACCGAAGGTGAGTGGTGGATTTGTAGCAATTTAATAAAAAAATCTTTACTCATGAAAACACTGAAGGTTTTTGATTTTACTAATTTTTACCTGAGATTTACCTGAACGATTTTTTTTGTTTTGTAACCACATAGAACATACCGGCTTATTAGTCAAACATTATGATGCGAATGTGATTTGCGTTATATTTATTGAATGTCAGTCAATCTTTGAGCTCCTACCTTATGTTATGATTGAAAATATAAACTTTATTTTTATTTCTTTTATTTTATCAAATTAAAGCTACAGTACCTTGAGAACAAGTGTCTGCATACATGTAGCTAAGAAGAACTCATTGAAGATACCCGGTTTTATGTACACCAGACAGGAGTTTTGTCTACAAAAGACTTATCTGTTATGTTAAATAAAAAAAATCACAACCAAGAAAATGTGGAAAAGTTCCCCAAATTAGTAACTATCCCTGAAATGAGGAATATGATCTTCCAGTGTTTTAAGAAAAAAAAGAGCACATTTTAAAATTTGAAATGAAAAGTATTTGTGCATTGACAATTTTCAAGGTGACTAACGTTTTAAAAACCTAAATTTTAAAATAATTAATTGGATCTTTAGGTAAAAATTGTTTCATTGATTTTCTACAAATTTGTGCAATTTTAGTTGACGGATCGACTCAATTAAAAAAAAATAGATTTTTAACACACTCATAATAACTGAATAATCTTCACAAGTTTGTGTTAATAACTGTTTGACACATTTATTGCAGTACTAACCATTTTTCCTTCCAAATTTTGTACTGAAGATTGTTTTATGAAAAAGGCATACAAAAAATACAAACATGTATTTGTTGATTACAAAGAAAACTGCAAGCAAAAGAGGATCTCCTATACTTGGCAACAGAAAAACTGGAATCTTAATTTATTTACTTGTTATGATCACATGGTATAAGCACATATGTTAGGTGTTGCAGATACATGTACTATATTGACTTCATGATGTCTTTCCTGGTTTTATTGTGTTGTTTGGTTGCTGTCTTGTTGACAAAATCTACATCTTGTATTCACTGATAAACATTTATTGCATATAAACTGACACATACGAACATATACATGTAAATAGACATAAAGAAATGAAAAGCAGTAATTAAAGCAGTGTTCCTGTGAAATATTTATTGTCCAGTATAATATTGTCACATGATATAGACATCCACCTAAGACTCCTTTCTGGGCACTGTCAGTATATGTACATACACCCCATAAATGTACTGGTATCTCTCAACATGTACATTTCAACCTCATAATGATATTCTTTTCTCCCCATTGTTTTTACATGTACAAATGTGTACCAACTTAAAATCCCCTTCTCTGAAGTGTCTTTTAATACATATATATCTGCCCAATTTCCATTTCTCACCAATATCTTTACATGTACAAACTGTATATCCAACCCATATCCTTTATTTCCCAATGTTTCCACATGTATATATATCCCATATCTTTTCCCCCCCACTGTCTTTACATACATGTATATATCCAACCCATAACCATTTCTCCTTATTGTCTTTCAGGTATATCCATATCCCATTCACCTGAATGTCTACTAGTATATCAACCCGATATCTACATGTATCTCCCAAATGTCTCACAGGTACAAAAATGTATATATCGGATTATATCCACATCATAACCCTTTCTCCCAAATGTTACATTCACCCATATTGCTTTGTCCCAAATGTCTATCAGGTACAAAAAAATGTATCCACCTCACATCCCTTTCTCGCAAATCTTTTTCAGGTACATCCACCCCATATCCCTTTCTCCTCATCTTTTACATGTATATCCATGTACCATATCTCTTTTCCTCTACTCAGTTACGGTTTCTTCATGTAAATCCACTCCATATCCCTTTCTCCTTAATGTCTTTTTTGTGTATTTTAAACCCATATCCCTTTCTCCCTAATGTCTTTTAATGTATTTTAAACCCATATTCCTTTCTCCCCACTGTCTTGTCATGTATTTTAATAGAACTGAGAATGGAAACAGGGAATGTGTCAAAGGGACAACAACCCAACCAAAGAGCAGAAAACAGCCCAAGGTCACCAATGGGTCTTCAACGCAGGGAGTAAATATCCCTTTCTCCCCAATGTCTTTTCATGTATTTTAAACCCATATTCCTTTCTCCCCAAAGTCTTTACATCAACACGTAAATCAACCCCATATCCCTTCTCCCCAATATTGCTAAATGTAAAAATGAATGTATTGCTAAAAATAGATGTTATCATAAAGACCCATCTTTAGAATCCTACATGTACACATCATGAAAATCCAACCATAATAGTCCATGGCATCAATTTTTTTCTGAACAATTCTAATTTGTCAAGCAAGTCAGCACAAGGTTGTATTTCCAATACAGAAACACTGTATATATTTGATTCTCTAAGGAATGCTAAATATTTGCAACTATTATCAAGTGCTGGAAAGATATTGTTTTGTTTATAGAAGAAACCAATATGGAATTTTTAGTAATTGTGCTATTGATTATATACTTTCTATTATCGAAGATGGAAGTTGTTAGGAATTTGTTTCGTTCTTAAAATGTTCATAAGTTCATAACCATGATAAATACATTGATACATGTTACATTATTCTCAAGGTAACATATAATGAGGCACAAATTACATCAAGTGCCACCATATAATTTTGAAGGTACAAAATGTGATGATCCGTATCGGTATCAAACACAAGTACCATTCAATTGACTAAATATCAGTGTGCTAAATAATGATGTAAATATTGTTCACAGTTGACATTGTTGATCACCCAACTTTACCAGTCTACTTATTGTAAAAAAATATCACCCTACTTTACCAGTCTACTTATTGTAAAAAAATATCACCCTACTTTACCAGTCTACTTATTGTAAAAAAATATCACCCTACTTTTCCAGTCTACTTATTGTAAAAAAAATATCACCCTACTTTTCCAGTCTACTTATTGTAAAAAAATATCACTCTACTTTTCTAGTCTACTTACAATTGTATTGTAAAAAAAAATATCACCCTACTTTTCCAGTCTACTTATTGTAAAAAAATATCACTCTACTTTTCTAGTCTACTTACAATTGTATTGTAAAAAAAAATATCACCCTACTTTACCAGTCTACTTATTGTAAAAAAATATCACCCTACTTTTCCAGTCTACTTACAATTGTATTGTAAAAAAAAATATCACCCTACTTTACCAGTCTACTTATTGTTAAAAAATGGAAGAAACTAGAAAGGTGGAGGTGTGCTAAAAAGGGCCCATGATTGTTATGTTGATTTTCTAGGCACTACAGATATACATACATTGATGAAATTTAGAAGTTCCTCCACGGTTGTGGTGAAAAAATGTCTTTTCCATTTCAGTGTATATATTGTACATTTAGAAGTTCATTCTTGTTCATGGTCGTATCTTGGTAGCCATTTACACAGTTGTTGCTCATAAAAAGATGTTTTATGACCTTGATTTAAGATAATTCATTTATATCTCAGAATTCAAGGTTACATCCAGCAATGGAAATCTTTTCCAGGCTATCCATGATAATTCACATATATTTGTAGTTACATCTTTATAAGTGACCTAAAATGTATGTATATTTCATGACCTTGAACCTAGGTCATATCTTCTTGGTCAACGAATGGACAAGTAGGTATTATTTAGTCCAAAATATGGAGTGTTTTACTCGGACAATATGTAACATTACTTACCATGACTGAAATTATATATTTACATGTAAGTTGGTTGCAATTTGTTAGAAATTACCAGATATGTGCAAACCAATTTCTGTTTTATCTAAAGACATTTGACTACATGTACCTTTTCCGATGTCAACTCTACAACTTAGGTAGAAATGTACAAAAACTACATGTATCAAAATTTATTCTTTAATTGAATTAGTTTTACATGTTATATAAATTTGAACAACATTATGTTTAAGATATGATAATACCTATTTATCTTGATGGTGGTTTTTGCCACAGGGAAAATATTTAACACAGATTTTCTTATCTCAGATATGTATTAAGTCAGCCTCTAAGCTGTATTGTCACCAGAATGTTACATTTTATATGTATAGACAGCTATAGTACAAATCATAGGTAACAAAGGTGCAAAATCAATTATGTAAAGGTGAATGCATTTAGCATGGCAGGTATATTTATCATACTGACATTCTAAATTTTAAGATTATTTATTTTTCCTCACACTTATGGGTGTAATTCTCAGCAGTGACCAGAAATTTTTCTGTACAACTATGTTAACAAACTATAATTTGACAAACATAAAGTTGTTACACAGGATGACAGGCTAATCTTCCATCAAAATAAATGTTTCCAAACAAATGAACTTGCTAGTGGTTTGATAAATGGGGTTGATAGTTCAGTGGTTTACATTGTGTCTAAAGGATGTTATTCCTTCCAACAGGAAGAATCATGCCAATTAGGGTCTGTTAATTGAACTTACAAATTTTACAAAGAAAACTTGGGGATAATTTTTGATACTTACATTATCTTTTGAAAGTTCTGTGTGTGTGTGTGTGTATGTATGTCCAGCATTTACAATTGATTCTGATCTGCTTGTCAGTGTCTGTTTTGATCTCAGTAGTTCAAAGGTGATTTGGCCACTCTTGCTAGAAATAGAATGAAGTTTATAGAAAAACATCTATCTTCACATATATGATTGTATGTTGTTTTTATTGTTTTTCACCTATATTTATCTTTTGGTCTGCTTATTTACTGGTCAGCCTGTCAATGTCAGTTTTGATTTTAGCAATTAAATGGTGATTATGCAACTCTTGCTAAAAATAAAGATTAATTCATAACACTGTCCCACCCAGATCCTCCCTTATTATGCTGTGTATATGTCAGTTGTACCAATAACCAGTCTGCTATGTCTTTGGTGCCCTGACCGAATGCTGAAGAGTTACAGTGCAGATAAAGGCACTTGATTTACACTTATCAGAGTTCAGTAAAGG